CTTTCAGGTCACGAGCAGAGACTGCAGTTCCTTTGCTCAGCTAGATGGGGGCCCGTTTGTCATGTGGGGCAGGACAGGTGATGTGGTGGTTCCCGTCCAGAGCAAGCTGTTGAGGACGAAGAGGACAGTGGAATGGCCTCCTGCTGAGGCCTCGCTGCTGGGGTGGCCCTGCCCAGTGCTTCCTGGTGTGTGGCCTCCCGTGGCTCCCCACCACCTTCTGGTAGAACCTCTGTAGATCCTCTCCTTCTGGCCCTCCTGGGCCTGTGTGCCTGTGGGGGACTACGCCAGGACTCAGCAGGGGAGGTGGCCAGCACAGAGGAGAGCTCAGCTTGCAGAGGGTAGCAGGTGCCAGGGAGTGTTAGGGTCTTGTTTGCTTTAATCGCCATCTCTGGAATCACCCTTTGAGTCTTCACAGTATTCAGAGGTCATAATTGATTAATTGGTCCAGGCATTGGTCTAATCATTTAGAAGAATTTTCAGGCTTGGGGGTGAAGTCTTGTCATGCACTACCTTGTTTAAGGCCGGATTGACCCGTGGGCTCTGAACCTGGGGTGCTGACTCAGAAAAGCTCACAGAGACGATTTTCTGATTTGGTTCTGACTCTAAACAAAGCTGACTCGGGAACACGGTGCCCGCTGTGGCCTAAAGATGCTGGCTGTTTGGCTGTTGGGCTTATTAAACGTACTTGGTTTGAAGGCGGCTTTTTGCTTATTTACTTATTTTAAATTCTCATGGTAGGGAGCGAGCTCGCCTGCTTGCTCCTTTGTTACTGGGCTGCTTCACATGGTCAGCGTCCCTCTAGGCCCTAAAGACGGAACTCCAGTCTAAAGGGCCACTTGGAGACAATGACTCTTTGTGTTGGGAGATGGATTTTCCACAACCTCGCTCCTCCTGGGACTTTTTTTACCTTTGCCAGTATTTAAAAAACATTGTTTGCTGTTCATTTCCGCCCCTTCCCCTGCCTTGCCCAGCCCAGTCAATATATAAGACAGTTTCCAGGGTGCAGTGTGAAGCAGCTCTGTCCGTCTGCAGGGCTGCTGCCTAGACCAGTCTTCCCTGGGCCATCTCCTGCATGGACAGGTCATTAGCGCCTCTGCCCAGCAGGTGGGTGCCTCGCCACACAGGAGTGTCGTCACACAGTAAAGCCAACACTGCCTGCTGGGCTTGGCCAGCATCTCCTGCACACCCAGGAGAGCAAGGGGGCAGGCGCCTAGCTTCCCCTTGGGGTGCTGGGGCGTGGGGTGCTCGGGTGCGTGTCCTGGGCCAGCGGGCCTGGTGTCCAGGTACACTGCTGTCTGAAGTTTGCTGTTGCCTCTATTTTCAAAGTTGATCTGAGAGCACTTCACATCCAGTGGGAAGTCAGACACATGTCGACGCTGCTCTCCTTTCTGCTTATTAAAGAAGAGGAGGAGGAGGAGGAGGAGTTTAGCTGCCAACTCTGGACTTTTCTTTTTCAGATGCAAAAGAAATTGTTTTAAAAGCGCAAATCCTAGCGGGAGGAAGAGGAAAAGGAGTCTTCAACAGTGGTTTGAAAGGAGGCGTGCATCTCACAAAGGAGTAAGTGGAGGGCTCCTTCCTGTCCTGGCCAAGTCACTGGGAAGGAGGGATGGATGGGTGCAGGCGGGAGCAGTAGAGGAGCAGATTCCTGGGGGGTGGCAGGGGGGCTCTGGCAGTGCTGCAGACGTCCTTCCGAGAATCCACGTCACCTGCACTCACAGAATCCGCTCACAGGATCTGTGGTTTTCTCACCCATATGCCACCTGCTTAGCATGGCAGAAAAAATCCTAAAAGGATTTTTGTTCCCTAACTGGTGGAAGTGACCTTCCTCTGGACAGTGGTGTTGCTAGTCCTGGCCGTGATGGCACTGCAGGTGAGTTGCTGTCCTGCTCAGGAGCCCTCAGGGGTGCCCGTGCCTGCTGCATCAGCTGCCTCCGTGGCAGTCCTGCCTGCTGTCCTGCGAGCCTGGCTTGGTAACGTCCCCTTCCAGCACCGAACGCTTTCCCCCCTGTTCCTGTCCCACACCCCGTTCGTATGAAGACCATATTCATTGTTGCCTGTGGTCAGTGTCCTCTTCCCTGTTCCTCTCTAATAGTTCACAAATTGCCCACCGTCGAGGACCTGTGCAAACTTTACATGACCTCTTATGCATCTCAGACTGGTGCTCACGGGGACTGTCCGTGCAGCAGGAGGGGACAGGGGTCAGAAAGCGCTTCTGTTTCACTCAGGTTTGCCCTTACCTCGTGCTCTCTGTGTGCCTCTAGTGCAGTGCGAAGCCCGTGGCGTATGGGTGGAGAGACTAGGGATTCTGTGAGTGGATGCACAGTGGACTCGACGGTGCACAGTGGACCCTGGGCAGGGTGGACGTGAGGGTGAATGGACTCTGCTGTGTGGTGCTGTTCCACAGACGTGGATTTCATTTTCTCCCTTTTCCTCCCTCGTAGCCCTAAAGTTGTGGGACAGCTGGCCAAACAGATGATCGGGTACAACCTAGCAACAAAGCAAACCTCCAAGGAAGGTGTGAAAGTCAACAAGGTAACGAGGTCCTCCTGATGCCTGCGTCAGCGGCAGAGCCCCACCTCGGTGCACACGCTGGGGGAGCCCTGCTCTCTGGCAGGAGCGCAGTGCCTTCTGGAGCTCGGTGACCCTGCTGTGTCCCTGAGGAGGGAAGAGGCCCCTCTAACCTGGTCTTGTTCTTTACCCTGGGCCAGTAGCCGCATCAGTTGCTCGGAGTCTGAGCCTGGTTTTCCTGGGCAGGACCTGGGTGTTCTGCTCAGCGCTGGAAGGGCAGAGAGGGACGGCCTCGGGCTGGCGAGCAATGCGCTCCCACCCTCACCTGGGTATCCTGAGGGCCTGCCCCCTTATTCTTCAGGCGTCCACCTTGAGGTCATGGCCATTTCCAGCTTCCCTCTTGCTGGGGTCTGTTGTATCATGGCATCTGCTGGGGCAGCCAGGGCTTTGCGTGCCTGCAGGAACACACCTCAGAAGAGAAAGCCCAGGAAGGCAGCGTTCCTCCGCCCCGTGGACGGGTGCACTGCAGGGCCGGGGCCAGCCCCACTGTCCTGCCCATGTCCTCCCCTGGCCATCTCCCTCAGGCAGGTGTGGGAACCAGTCCCCTGCCCACAGCACCCAGTGCAAAGCAGACAGGGAGCACCCAGCTGGCTCAGGGCAGCTGCCGAGGACGTGAACCCGGTGGCCTCTCCCGGCCCTGGCCCTGTGCGTGGCAGGCCCATCCTGACCGTGGATGGGGGCCTGCTTGGTGGGGAGCAGCTGTCCCTTCTGTGTCAAGCCTGATGGCCCGTCATCGTGCTGTATTTGGGGACGCTCGTGGGGTGTGTTCCGTGTTGACTTTCAGAGATTTTTAGAAACTTTTTGACGTGCCTAAAGAAGATACCCAGGCAGTTCTTAGTGTGTCAAGGGTGGTCTGTCCCAGCACAGAGGACCCTGAGCTTGGGGACAGCACGGTGACTATAGCCACCAACAGCATGCCTTTCTGCAGGTCGAGGGGCAAGAGCCAGCCAGGGTGGGCCTGCCCCACTGTGCTGCCCTGAGGGTGCTCCCTACCTCCTCCCGGCTGGTTCTACAGAGCTCCCCGCGGCCTTGAAATCTGATGTGAGCATTTCCTCCCACCCACTCAGACTTTGCAGAGGGCATAGTGCGTATTTTTATTGGTAGGAACTTGTTGTTTTACGTGGGCACATGGGATTCTTAGATTAGTGTTTGTGAGAGTTTTAAAAGCACATAAAAGTGCCCAGAGCAGATTCACACTCTGTCGAGGTGGCGTTCTGCACAGACTTCGCTTGTAGATCAGTTCCTGAAGTACTAGCGATCAGCCCATCCTTGTAGGTGGGGTCGTTGCTGCTATACTACTAGAGTGATTCGTCTTGTTTATTCTTTATTTTTCTAAACTCTTATTTTTTAGTTGTAGGTGGGCACCATACTTTTATGTCATCTTTATGTGGTGCTGAGGATCAAACTCAGTGCTTCACGCCTGCAAGTTCTCTACCTCGGAGCCACAACCCCAGCCCAGAGTGATTTATTTTTGACAAGTCCCTCGCCCCCACCACACCCTACACTGGCAAAGTGATTAACAAGGTGAAAAATTCTGACCATTCAAAAGGACAAAGCAGAGTCAGAGTTCCCTGTGTTCTCCTCTGAGACGTGATTGCCAAATGCTGTTTTGGTCCTTTCCTGGTGTGAACTGTCCTCACACCCTAGAGCAGCTCACGGACCCCAGCACCCGTCTCCACGGCAGTGGAGAATCCGCTCTGTCCTTCTGGTGGGGTGCAGGTTCCAGGGAACCGGGTGGTGGGTATTTAACCATGGGGGGGATCACTTGTTTGGAGGGTCCCTAGTGCAAGTTCTGGAAGCTCTTATGTGAGTGGAGGCCCGGGCATCTCCTTCCCCGGGTCTGTCTGTCCACAGTCAGCAGAGAGACTCCTTAGAGAGTCCCAGGCTGGTCCAGCCTTGGGGTTTGCTGCATGCTGAGTCCACTGCCTCTTCCTGACCCATCAGCGGCTGAGAAGCCAGGGAGCCCAGCTGGCCTCAGGGGTTGGAGCCACTGGGTACTCACCCTGCGGCTGGGTGGGATTTCCTGAGAAGACTCCGGGGGCCCTGGGATGAGACCCTGCGGTTTGGCTGTGTGGCTCAGTGGTGTGTGCTCTGCATCCTGGTGTGCGGGGCATGGCAGTGGCCTTGGGACCCAGCCGTTGAACTTTGCTTCACAGTCCTGTCCCCGAGAGTTTCCACACAGGTACTCCTCTGCCGGGCACGCTTGGAGGAGCAGGGTGTTAAAATCAAAGGAAAAACGCAGATTCCTTGGTCGAGCAGAGCCAAGAGAGGACGTTTTCATACGGGGACTCCAGAATGACTGCCTAAGCCCATAGCCACCTTCTCGTAACTCAGGAGGGCGGTCTCCCCGGGCTTCTGCTGGGACGAGGGTTTGCAGAGGGCCTCGGCTCTCCCTAAATGATCCCTGAAGCTCTCTGTCACCCTGAGTCCCAGGGATGGCAGCTTAGCATCCCAAACTGTTCTTTGCGTGAAGTCTTTCCATCGTCTCTTGCTAAAAGCACCCTTGTCCTGGGGACACTTTCCTGAGGCCCTTTCTCGACAGCGAGAGCTGCGTGACACAGCGAGAGGTGTCTGCACAAGGAGACGTCGGGTGGAGTGCAGGGGGCAGCTGTCAGCATTCCACAAGATGAAGTGGGGGACTAAGGGACACCCCAAGAACAGCAGTGTGGTGTTGCTGCTGAGAACAGCCCCCGGGGTCACTCAGCGCCAAGTGACCGGAAGTCACGCCGCCCACCCCACAGGCTCCTTTTGCATTTTGTGTCCACGGAATCTCTTCCAGTGGCTCGCCCATCCCCTAGAGAAGTGCTTAGAGAAATAATTGTCTTAATTTGTTAAAATGCTTGTCCTGACGTTGATGCGCAGAGGTGAACTTCCTGTCACTTCTGTGGACCACAGGTGGCAAAGAAAGCCCAGAGCCACACGCCCTTGCTGTCGGCGTCCCGCCTCCCCTCAGGAGAGCTTCTGAGGGTCTGCGTTTCCAGTGGCCCCCAGGAGAACCGGCCCTGAGGGAGGGCTTGACTGGCCGTGACTGGCCGTTTTTTAATTTTAGTTTTTTTTGGAGGTACCAGGGATTGAACTCAGGGGCACTGACTACTGAGCCCTATTTTGTGTTTTATTTAGAGACAGGGTCTCCCTGAGTTGCTTAGCGTCTCACCATTGCTGAGGCTGGCTTTGAACTTGTGATCCTCCTGCCTCAGCCTCCGGAGCCGCTGGGATGACAGCCGTGTGCCACCGCGCCTGGCTCTTGTATAGGCTTTTGATCTCCATTTTTGAACCATCAAGTGTAAATTGAAAGAAAGTATAAAATGAAATAAAACACAGTGACCCCAGGGACAGAAGCGTCTAAACGTGGGGCAGCAGATACACTGTAAAAGAGCCTTTCCGTGGCAATCAGATGTGGCTTTCCACCAGGAGGCCCGAGCAGAGCCCGGGTGGAGAGGCACGGACCGTTCACACGCGATTAAGACAGCGCTGCTTCCCCGGGTTCTTCTTAGTGGCAGGATTTCTCAGGGAAAGCGAAAAAGGGAGATCCTTGACGCAGACCAGAAACCTGTCCCCTGAACAAGTTGGCAGATCAGTAAGGGGACGGCAGGGGGCTCCAGAGAGCAGACGCTCCGGCGCCCGAGAGCGGCCAGTTTGACCTGGGCAGCAGCGTGTCCAGGTCCCAGGCGGAAGCTGCTCGAAGCTGCTCGCGTCTGACTTTCCCGCCCGTGTGCAGGTGATGGTTGCTGAAGCCCTGGACATCTCGAGGGAAACCTACCTGGCAATTCTGATGGACCGGTCCTGCAACGGCCCCGTGCTGGTGGGCAGCCCCCAGGGGGGCGTTGACATTGAAGAGGTGGCGGCTTCCAATCCAGAGCTGATTTTTAAGGTACGCTTAATGGCCTGGCCATGCCTGTTCACGGACTGTTACGATAGACGCCGACAGACGTCCACCTCCTGGGTCAGCTCTGCCCCGGGTGGCCCTGCCGGGCACACACGCTCTCCCGGGACACCGGCCTGACCTGGATGGCCGTGAGTCAAGCAGATCCTTCCAAGCTCCAGTGCTGTCTTCTCCTTCCTGTGCTGGGATCCTTGTCCCTTTTATTGGTCTGGAGATTAATTTCAGTCAAGAGATCTGCAGCCAGATCTTCAGAGTGAGCGAGCTTTTCACCAGCTCTAAGCCTCGCTTTTTAAATCAGCGAAATAAAATGGGGTAACTTCTACCCCATGAGACTGTGG